TTCATCGTCCGTTTCGTTACGTTATCACAACGTTTAACCATCATGTTCCTTCATTCGCCAGTGTTATTATCATTATTATCACTTGTGTTATCATTGTTACTGTAAAATGTTGCCGTTGGCTTATAATTAAAGGCAAGTCTCGCTCGAAATCACATGATCTAGCAATGTCATTAACGTAACCAAGCTTGAGCCAAGCTAGCTATGACGATCTGGCTTGTTTATCTATTATCTGCCAGCAGTACTGATTATTACTCCGTTCTTTCAACAACACCATTCATTCCTTCGCAAGCTTCCTTATCTTATAACCAATCCACTCAAAAATACTAAATCGTTACTTACTCATTCAATAACAATAACAACGGTAACTCTAAATAACATTAACGAATCTGCTAGCACCTGAAGCAATGCCTCTATCTCGTCACGCTTCTCTATGATCAATCGAAAAGAGATGACCTTCAGCTGCTCATTTGCTGGAAGAAAGAAAACTTCAAAAAAAAAACAATTTTTTCAATAAACGTCTATCGATACACTGCTACTTCGTGCACATAAAAACAAATTCACTATCAGTCTCATATTTTCTTGCTGAAAAACGAAATCACTTCAAAGATATTTCTTTAATAATAACAACATAAATATGATCAGTAATAAATACTTTCATCGCATCAAATCATACAACCAGCACATATCAACCAGTTCAAATGTAATCGTTTCTTTCATAAATGAAAAAAAAAACTCAAAAAATTACGAAAACAATAAAAGAGATCAAAGTTTATGAGAGAAAGAATGAACGGAAATCAAATTATGAAGTCGATTCATAAAAGACATCCAATGGAAAAACAGATAAGTAAGCAAATACACGAAAAGTAAGCGAATGAACATCTCAATAAATAAATAAATAAATTACTGACATCAATCCACCAATTCACTATCATCCCATCATCACCGAAACTTTAACATTCCCTATGGTTCCCACAGAACCTCATCAGCATCAACACAAAATCTCACACCTTATAATATTCTAAACAATGAATCACAACCCTCAATCCCCCCCCTTCCTCTTTTACCTAGCCCAAAGCCCCCTTCGCCCTCTCCTAATCACCCCGGAAGATCCCTTCGAATCCAACAACTCGTTAAAGCCTTCTCTTTCCAGATTAAGCGTTTACAGTGCGTGGACTTTGGTTCTGATCTTGAGCCCGTGCACGCACCGGACCTTGGTCTGTGATCGCAATATTACTGTTTCTATTCGCATCATCGTTAATCGTCGTATTTAAACTTCGATTCGGTGCGCTCTCATCGGCTGCTACATGCAACGTGTCCGACGATGGTGTTCCGCGTTTGCAACAAAACAATTTCTGCATGCGACTGGCAGCTTGATGCGGTATTTGACGCAGCATCTCGCGTGTTATACCCATCACATAACATGAATAGATCGCATTCAGCACGAGTACAACCAGCTGTGCACTCAGCACTGCCAGCTGAATGTGAAATCCACGTCTATTCCAAAAACTCTGCAATCGTTGGATCGTCAAAAAAGAAGAAAAACATAAAAATTGAAAATTTGGCTTTGCTGGAAGACTGAAAATTCTGTGATAAAAAGCTATTTTCT